CTTGCTCCCAAGGTTCGTTTGGAGTGGCACTCTGAGAGTGCAAGCATGGCCTTCTTCCTTCCAGACAAGCAGTCCTGCATGGAGCAGAGCAGAAGGAGCTGCTCATCTCCCAGTTTGTGCTTGCTGTAACCCAGGTTTAAAGCATAGAAACGGGTGTTGTTCTTTGCTTTCAGTGAGATGCTGGCATGGGCCAGCGCCCAGATCCACTGCCAGTTCCACGCCAGCGAGAACCGGGTAGCACTCCCTCCCTCTGACGGCAGCAAGCACGATGTGCAGGCAGAGAATGAGACCGTCTTTGTCCCCAACAGAGGTGAGTCCTACTGCAGTCATCCCGGGTAGGGATGGTGAGAGCACCGCGAGCAGGGGCCAAGCAGTCCATAATGTCTGTCTTGAGGGCAGCATGTGTAGAAGCAAGGGCAAAGTCTGTGTTGCTTTCCTTGTGTCATTCCCTGATGATGGCTGTTGTGGGACCTCGTTAATACCGAGATCAAAGTGGCACTAGCTTGGAGTGAAACATGAGAATTGTCTGTCCAGCAGCTCTGGGAATGTCTCGTGATATGACCAGTGCATGAGATACTTCATCCTCAGCCCTCTTCTCCCTGTTCCTCTCCATGAAGATAATAAAGCTTGATTGACCTGGACCCAGCCTGGGTCTGGCCAGCATTCATGTGTTTCTTCTTTTCCAGGAGAGCGGGGTCAGTGTATCCTGTCCACCCCACCAAAGATCCTCTTCTGTGACTTGCGACTGGATCCTGGGGAGTCCAAGTCCTGTGAGTCCTGCCTTCTCTTCCCCTGGTCACAGAGCTCACCAGGGAGCTCTGCTTTCAAAACTGGCTTTGCAAGTGCGAGACTCTGGTGCTCATGGAAGGCAAGGTGCTTTGGTGGGAGCGTGAGTGCTCTGAAACTGCTGCGTCATCCAGAGTCTGTTCTCCATGGCATGAGGGCTGTGTGCTGCACCATGTCCCTCAGTCCTGCATCCGGCTTGCAGCCTTTGCTGCAGATCTGTTGTGTAGCTGCAACACACAAAACCTTTGAAACACCTGGCTGCAGCTGAAGGAATGGTTACACTCATCTCCATTTCCTTGCCTTTATTTCTTCAGCCACACTGGAGCAGCCTTTGGATATAAGCTGGCATCCTCCAAAGGTCTGTGCTTCCTCTTCAGGTTGTGACTGTTCTGGAGATCACAGTCCTCTGCATGTTCTAGTTTTCATGCTGTGTAAGGGAGCACTTCTCATCTTCTCTGCTCAAAGCTCTCTATGTGTGAGACACAGCTGTAAAAGTACAAGTATGCGCTGTTGTCTCTTGGTCAGTGGCTGTGTGGACTGTCAGGTTGTGTCGGATCTCCTTCGCGTTCCAGTGGCCTGTGATTTAGCAGCAGTGATGCTGGGCCTTGCAGACTATGTGTGGAGAGTTCCATTGGGTTGTCCCAGGGATCTTCTGGGAACACTTTGATGGAGATTTTTCAAGCCACAGAGCACAGAGAACAGAGAGGCAGTGTCTGTGGTGGAAAGGGCTCCACTATGTCACTGTTCTGCAGAGGTCGAGTGGAACTGCAAGTGAGACCGAGGAGCTGCAGAGTTGTGACATGCTGGTTTTGAAGCTAGTGTCTCCTGCCTTCCTAGCCTTGGAGGGTCCTGACTGGAGGGGAAGGTGGACAGGGTAAAACCAGGCTGGCTTGGCTGGGTGGTGAGTGGGATGGGGCAGTGCCATCTGGGGCTATGCCCTCTAATCTCCAGAGCCTATCATCTGAGTATGTTTTGTTACTCACTTACAATTCTACAGCAGCACTTTGGGCAAAGGTGCTGGCCATGTCAGCAGAGGGGAGGAAGAGGCAAAAATCTCAGCTGGCCTGCAGCTCACTTGGATTCTCCTGTGCTTCTCACTGCTGGCAGGTGTCGGGCTGGAGTATCCATTCTTTGGGAGCAGGGGGAAGTCCCTTTTGCTGGTGCATCTCAGAGAGTCTGGGCAGTCTCTGGGAGAGCAGATCAGTGACGACAGCCCAAGCTCCAGGTGGCAGTGATGGATTAAAGGGATTTCTTTGAGCACTGGCTTTGCAGATAGAAGCTTATGGCCAATGTTGAGTTAAGCTAGAGATTTTCTGTCCTTTGCAGTGATGTTGTGATGTATGTGTGTCTCCTCTCTGCCTCTGGGTGACACTGGCACAAGCATCCTGCATCTGCCTAGTGCTTGGATGCAGATCCTTAGGAAAGACACAGAATCTTACACGCTTTGAGGTTCCTTGGCCATATGTTACAGCCTGTCCCCTTGGTTGTGTGATGCACCATTTGTTTCATGTGTCATGTGTGATGCTGCTGTGTGTGGCACTGGCATTTTAGGACTGAAATCCCTGTATCACAGCCCTGGTCTTGTTCTCTGCCAGGCTGCTCACACCAGTCCCATCAGCCTGTGTTGCTGCTGCTCTCACACGAGACTACAGCTGGCACACTTGCAGATCATTCCTGGGGGCTCCTGCCAGCTCCATGGAGGGAGAGTTAAAGCTATGTGGGTGTGTATCTTAATTCTTCATTTCCTGTTTTTCAGAAGTTTTGAGTTTTGCTACGTAGTTTGGAAAGGAAAAGAACAACAAACAGAAAACCCAAGAAATCTTAATTCTGCTTCAGCAATGTACGATGTTACTAAACTGCAGCCAGGGCTGGCACATAGAGCTGAGGTTGTGTCAGGCTGTCTCTTGATAAAAAGCCTTGTTTTCAGTGGCTGACCAGCTTATTCCCCAATATCTTCCTTTGTTATTGTGCCTATATGTCAAAGTTGACTCATCTCCCATCCCTTTGACACACTGCCCAGGATGCGCTCTTTTAATTTGTCACCATAAAACATTTTCTCAAGACCTCAAGTCATTTCTGTGACTGTTTTTGCCTCCTCTCCGGTTTTGTAATACCTTTAAATATTTGGTAGATCACAGAGGGGGGAGGAAATGGAAGCAACCTGGACACGGCCGGGAGCCCAGCCAGAGGGCAGAGTGGGTGGGTAAGGAAGAAGGCATCCTTAGTGCCAGGAATGTGCTTTCTTCTGGGATATGCATGGAAGCTGGGACTTCCTGAGTGTTGGCA